TAATATGATGTGGAAGGAAAAGATTGGACGAAAGAGGTGATTGTATTTTAAACTGATAAATGGTAAAGTGTCATTTGATATTATGTAATCCATTTTATAAATCTTGATATATATGCAGCAAAATCCTTATTGAAGTGGGAATAAAACCCCCAAGAATAGCCTCTAGGTATCGTCATTTAAGCCTACCTTCAATTGTAGATCTCTCAATTGTCTTTGAGTATCGAGACTTTGCCAATTGAAAATGCGAATACGAAGTGCATCTTTCCATGACCCCGCCCATCGAGGTTGTATATCCATGTATGGCAGAATGATCTTGTCCGTGAACCCAAAAAAGTATGGATACAAATAGCGGTTCGTGAGGTTCATGTGAAGGAGAGCTACAAGAATAATTTCCGCTCGTTGATGATTTTGATCTTCTGCTAAATAGAATGACGATTTTTTTCTCTCTCTTCTTTAATTATGTTTTTATGTCTAGTTTAAGTTTATATATATATACACAAGAGAGGACAAGTTTAGTTTCCACTAGTAATACATTGAATAAAGAAACATACCTGACTCTTCTTTCTGGTATTCAAATCCCTGGCCAAAATTTTGGCGTCACACAGATAGACGCCACCAACGATCTGTCGACAATAATAATGACACTCTCCGCCTCTGTTTTGTTTTTCCCAGTGGATAATGAGTTTTGTTTGTCCGAAGAATTGGTGACGATAGATATGAAATCAGATAGTGTAAAGGCAACTGAGGTTACTAAGTCCTAATGATTTGAAGGTGTTGATTATTGTGTTTAGTCATTACAATAGGAAATTAATTTTCCTTTAAAGATTAAAATCATGATAATAAGGATTTTTGGTAAGCTTGAGATCATTGTATTATAAAATCCTTACACATTGATAGGGAAGATGATAACATTTGAAGGAGCTTTTAATGGCCTAACCAAATGCTTCCTTCCTTGTTCTCATCTAGGTGTATTCCCCTTTAGGGAAAATGAAAAGTCTTTTAGAGTAATGCTCAATTAGGATTTTGAAATTGCACAAATTTTCCAGGACTTTATTATAGCAGACCAATTAAATTATGCACCTTTTATTGGAGTCAAGAGAGGGATCTAACCGAACTCACATGACCAAGCTCGAATAGATATTTCTACTCGAGTCAACTCTTGACCAATTGAGATACGTCTATTAATCTCGGCTTATTTTACCAAAAAATTGAGATTACACTCTTGAGTCGAGTGATACTACAGAAGCAAATTATGATCCAATACCAATATTCTTTGATTATCGTTCCACAAGTCAATTTTCATTTGACCGCCAAGATGTTGAAACTATCAAAATGACCATTTTTCCTTTCAACATGTATTACCCTCTAAGTTTCATTTTCATACGGCAAATTCATTGTGATGAAATCACAATATAAAGTCCAACGATCACATCATTGAACTACTGAGCTCAGGTTCTATTTTCCTAGAAAAATACCTTAGAATGACGATCGTCTCATCTAAATGATTAATGGATTCTATTATTGCAAGTATATGATTTCTAACTATTTCGGCCTAAATCCTAAAGCACCGAGATCAATCTTCTATGTAAGACTTCACTCATTGGTACCTCAAGGAACTTGAACTAGCAATCAAAGGTACATTACTCGTTCAAGATTTAGGTGATTTGTTTGATACTCAAGTATAGTCTTATTTTAAACGGTCATAAATGAGTCATCTACGCGATCCCTTTCAATGTGTATTTAAATACATTATTGTTCTTATTTCAAGTTCTAGACAAATTTTAATAAGAGCAATGCAATCTTATCAACATAAAACGTCTAATTTTATGTACTGATTGTGAATGACATAATTTTGATCATATCACAAATTATGTCTTACTATACCCAAACCATCAAGCATACAGTTTGTGATATTCTATATGATCATGGAACCTTAGATGATCATATCAAATTATAACATGTAAATAAATGAACGTCTATTTATAATGTGATATAATCTCTCATTCTCAAAAGATGCTTGAGTATATGCTTCATCGCTACCTAATGTTCTAGTCCTGCATTAGACTGATAACGACTAACAATATCCACAGCATAACAAATATCCAGTCTAGTGTAAAGTGTAGCATACATGAGACTTCCCACAGCCGAAGCATAAAGAACATTTCTCATGTAATCTATTTCCGTTGGAGTCTTGGGACAATGCTCCTTAGATAGATAATTCAATGTCTAAAAGGAAGTTATCCCTTTTTGAAATTCTGCATTGCTAATTTAGACAATATTTTGTCCATATATGAAGCTTAGGATAATGTAATCCTTCTGTTTTTCCTATCTCGTAAGATTCGGATTCCCAAAACATAATTTACTTCTCCTAAGTCCTTTATGTTAAAATGCTGTGACAATAATTTCTTTACAGATAACAACGTCCCTACATCATTTCCAATGAGTAGAATGTCATCTACATAAAGGATTAGAAAAACTACTTTCTTCCCTTGTATTCCCTTATACACACAGGGTTCATCCAGATTTTGCTCAAAACCATGGGTCTTAATGGTTTGATCAAATCTTACATTCCAAGAGCTGGACGCTTGCTTGAGTCCATAAATGGACTTTTGTAACTTGCAAACGTTCCTTTCATGGCCTTCTTTCACGAACACTTCAAGTTGCATCATATAGATGGTCTCCTCAAGACGTCCATTGAAAAATGCTATCTTGACATCCATTTGCCAAACCTCATAATCATAATGAGCAATAATGGATAAAAGGATTCGAATAGATTTAAGCATGGTAACTGGTGAGAAGGTTTCTTCATAGTCAATGCCTTCTTTTAGGGTAAAACCCTTGGCCACTAGCCTTGCTTTGAAAGTTTCAACCTTCTCATCTATACCTCTTTTCCTTTTATAGACCCACTTGGACCTTATAGGCTTTACCCCATTAGGTGCATCTATAAGATCTCAAACCTTGTTAGAATACATAAATCCCATCTTTGAGTTCATGCCAGATTTCCATGATTCAAAGTCTACATCCTCCATTGCTTCCTTCTTGCTCAGTAGAGATCGCCTGATAGGATTCTCTATAAATCAAGTACCTAGAAATTGGTCTTACAACCCTTCCCACTGCTTGGTCTTGTCCTTTGTTAAGACCAAAGTCTTCGTTATCCCCATTGAGAGGGGCATGTAGATGTGTAATAGTAGGTGCTTCATTCTCTACTACCTTTAGTTCTTTTTGCCCATGAAGTTTTGTGGGCACCACTTGCTCACTTACCTGATCAGCAACCATTGGTCTAGTAGGAGGTTCCAAGTTATCACTATTAGATTCTATGCAGAAATCTGAAACTGGGTGATTTGAGCCATGTTCTAGCATATCTTCCAATGGAATCTTAATAGTAGACTTGTGTTCTTCTATATACTTATTCTCTAAGAAGGTTGTATTTATATTAACAAATACCTTCTTATTAAAAGAATTCTAGAAGTAGTAACATCTCGTTCCTTTTGGATAGCCTACAAAGAAATAAAACTCTGATCTTGATTCTATCTTATCCTTCTTTCCCTTTAATACATGTGTTGAACATCTCCATATCCGAATGTGGTGCAAATTAGGCTTGCGCCCATTGCACAACTCAAGAGGCATCTTGGGAACTGACTTAGATGGCACCAAATTCAAGATATAAATAACTGTTTGTTGTGCATATTCCCAAAAGAAAATAAGCTACTAGATATAAATAACTGTTTGATTTCTTCTTTTTGAGACACCATTTTGTTGGGGAGTTCTTGGTGTACTCAGTTGGGATAATATCTCATTATTCGACAAGTAGACTTTAAATTCTTGGGATAGATTCTCGCCACCTCGATTAGATAAAAGGGCCTTGATACTCTTACCTAATTGTTTCTCAACTCTGTCCGAAACTCCTTGAATTTTTCCAAAGCTTCGGATTTATGAGACATAAAGTATATGTATCCAAATCTAGAGTAATCATCTGTCAAGGTGTTAAAATACTCGTATCCACCTCTAGCCCGAGTATTAATGGGTCCACAAACATACGAATGTACTAATTCCAAAATTTCTTTAGCTCTTAGTCTCTTAGCCTTTAAAGGTCTCTTGGTCATCTTTCCTTCTATATAAGATTCACAAGTAGTATGGATTCCACCTCTAACTCATTTAAAGGACCATCATTTCCCAATCTTTGAATCATATTTAGATTGATATGACACAATCTAAGATGCCATAAGAGAGTTTCATTAGTACTAGACAATCTCTTTCTTTTCTTAGCAGTAGTAGTGTTATGTATAGAGCCAATCATAGACTTAAGACATAACGACTATTAATCATATGACCTGAATATATAACGAAATTATTTAACTCAATTACTACGTAGAATGGGTAAAAAGTATCAAATAACCAGCATGATATAAAAGTGCAATGAAAACCAAGTTCTATGTAAATTAGAAAACATAATAACAGTCATCTAACATCAAATCTCAAAACATAAAAAGTAAAAGTGCAACATCTTTGGCAGATACCATTGCTTCTGTACCAATTCTGAGAGTGTACTCCCCTTTATTGGGGTGTTTGGTTTCCTAAAACCCCTGCAAAGAATTGCAAACATGATTAGTGGATCCAGAATCTACAATCCAGATATTAGTAGAATCAACCACTAAGCATGACTCAATGAATAGGGCACTGCCTTTACCTTGTTTCCCCTTAACTAGGTGATCTGGACAATTCCTCTTCCAATGACCCTTTTGTCCACAAATAAAACACTTTTCCTTTGGTTTCCTATCGACATTGGTTTTCTTCTCCTTTGACTTGTTATATGGCCTTTTGTTTGGCCTTTTCTTCTTCTTTTCTCCTTTGCCACCAAAAGGCTTAGGGTGAGAGGGTCCAGCTGTAACAGTAAAAACATTTCCACTTCTGGCCTTCAAAACAGTTTTAGCATTTTGGAGTTCTTTCATTAATTCCGTCAGAGACATGTCCATCTTGTGCAGATTATAATCAACTATAAACTATGAGAACATCTCAGGAAGAGTCCCAAGGACCATGTCAATCGGCATCTCAGAATCAATGTCAGTTCCTAAAACCTCCGCAGCATTAAAGTGACCAATCATGATTAACATAGGGTCACTCACAAATGTGCCCAGTTTCATGTGCGTGTTCATAATTGCCCTAATGGAGGCTTTCCTAGTTTGTCGATTTTGATGTCCAAACATCTCTTGAAGACTTTCTATTATGTTAAAAGCAGTTTCTATATTCTGATGTTTTTGTTGTAATATATTTAACATGTATGCCAAAATGTAACAATGAACCATCTCATTAGAATGACACAACTTTTCATATGCAGCTTTTGAGATTCTGTGGAGTCATCTTTAAGGGTTTCGGGATAATCTTCAGTCAGCACAAATATATATTTTTTAGTGGTAAAAACAATATTAAGATTTATTTTCTAGTCAACGTAGTTTTCTCTCACAAGTTGATTTTTGTTAAGTATCACTCATAATGGATTAAGAGATTTTTTTTTTTTTGTAAAAAAAATTAAAGATTCGCGTATTAATAAAATGAGTAATAATATTTGTATGATGCATGTATATGAGTATGCAAATATGGACCCAAAACTATATCTATTAATCAAAAACCTTAAGCCCTTACAACATGCCCTATATAGGAGGTCAATATAGTTGTTGGCAAGGTTGAGACCCTCCACTCATTTTATTGAGTTAGGCATCTTATGCCATCAAAAAATAAAATAAAATAAAATCACGATTGATTGATCATTATTTGGCCTATGAATAATTTTGTTGGAATCTTCTATATGAAGTCACCCAAAAAAATTCATATATAAGTGTAATAACCCCAATCAATAATTTTAAAATATCCGAAACATATGAGGTCATCTATAGGAGAGTGTCCTACCATTCCATTTTAAAAAATTCTATTACTAGATCCAATTTTCAGCTAATCTAAAATAACATAGTTTTCCTATAGGGAGATCTTTGATACTAAACATATGTATTTTAATAACAAATTGGATGATGGAGGAGGATGTAGGTTTATATATACTTATAAACCCCCTCCCACTTATTATTTTGAACCATTGGATTTTTACTTAGTAATTACTCCAATAAATATAAATAATTATAATGGCATTAATTATTAAATAAAATATTTCTCAACCACCTCCAATTAATTTAGAGTGCTGAAAAAATATTTAAATGCAAATGCATTTGATTTTAGTGCAACGGGTGGTATCAATTTAATCTACATGACATGTGATAATAATTAAACATTCATCCATCCATAAAGTGGTAAAAGCAATAATTAAATGAAAAATAATCACTAATGGCCCATCCTAGAAATATAAATTAGGGAAAAAATCATATATGTCTTACTAATTGTTGACACATAAAAATTCGACCCAAATTGAACGGCCCAAGGAATGAAGCCCAATGGGAGGATCCTCAAATCAGATAGCCCAAAGAATGAAGCCCAATCAGACAATTCAGGATGAAGGCCCAAATAGGGAAGCCCAAGAACGCGGTAACACCATCGCCCAAACTTGCAAATTGCCCAGGATTTGAGCGAATGGAGTGCCACGCAGTCGCCCAGAACTGCTACTCTATTCTCGCCCAAACCTTCGAGTCGCCCAAGGTCTTAGCAAACATGAAGTGTTGTGGTTATAAAGAAGCGCAGTTATCAAAGCAATTATTAAGCAGCCCTATCACGTTCCACGATTCAAGGAATTCAATCGAAAACGGTTGAACGACGAAGAGTAATGACAGCAGTTAAAAAAGGCAGTTCCATGACAAGTTGGCCATTACGAGGAAAGTGGGCAGTTATAGAACGATCAAGTAGTTTTTAGGTGGTTGATCACAAAGAGATCATCCAGGGAGTATAAAAGGAATAAAAGACATAGAGCAAAGGACCCCGAATCAAAAAACTCTCGAACAGAGAACATGTAATTTTAAATTTCTTAGTTTAGATTTAAAAACTTCTTTCAGTAACTCGTGTGCTTGCGCCCCTTTGAGGCATTCTGTTTTTATTTTCCGATTGTAAAGACATTGCCAATAAAGAACACCCCCTTTTTGGAACTTTGTCTCAAGAGGTTTGTCCCTTACACAATCTTCTGATCCCTTTTTAATTGTTAGCGACGAACCCGCGCGAAACAATTTGGCATGTCCAGTGGGACAGTGGTGTTTGGTGTTGAAAATACAAAAGGTGAAACAATATGTCTCAGAGATCCGATAAGGAAGCAGCAAGTCAGGGAGGAGTCTAGTCTGTGATCGAGCGATATGAGGAGCAACATGCCTCTTTACGAACAGATGGACAGAATCAGAGCAGTAATAGTCGTTACGAACCAATGACAGAGTTGAGTCCTCGAACCATGCGTGTACTACTTGGAGAACTCACACAAGATGTCGTTGAACAGGTAAATCTTCGAAGTATTCATAATATGGAAAGATTTACCCAAAATGGGAATGCACATTATGACAACATGGCCAAACAACTAAACACTTTGAACGAAATAATGAATAAGTTAGTACGCCAAATATGTCAACCGGTTATACCTCTTGCAAATCACTTTCAAACTAGGACAATTGTGGGACATAATCCCTCAGCCCTAAATCCGAATCAAGGGATAGAACCACTTTCTGGTCCCTCTACTTCAAACCAAGGGGGTGGTGCAGTGCCAAATCAGAACAATGGAAGTGGTACGCCTAACTTGGGGGGTAATCCAAATGTAAGAGATAATATCCTAAACAATGGACAGAGTACCCCACGTGTTAATGAGGGAATAGATGTTCAGGCTAATGGTAATGGCCCTAGTCATTGTAACTTTGTTGCCAATCAAGGACCAAACATCAGGTCTCATGCAAATCAACTGGTTAACCAACCTGTAGGAATTCCATATGACCCCAACGTCATGTTGAGGAATCAGATTATGGAAATCGTACAGGATCAAATGGCTTTTGGGGCGCGTCCTATCATTAGGCTGACTTACACAAAGCCATATCTTGATTGGGTAGACCAAGCATATCCGTGGCCTAGAGGGTATAAAGTGCCAGAATTCTCACTGTTTACCGGATTAGGAGAGGTGTCTACTCTAGAACACATAGGGTGATTCACATTACAAAGTGGTGATGTAACTGATTACCATAAAATGAGGCTTTTCCCTAGTTCATTAACAGGAGTAGCTTTCTCCTGGTTCATCAACTTGCCAGCGAACTCTGTTTAAACATGGCAACAATTGGAACAATTATTCCACGCTCAGTTTTATAAAACTGAGTCTGAAGTCACTTTGGTTGATTTGGCGAATCTACGTCAAATGCCAAACGAATGGGCAGAAAGTTTTCTCCAGAGGTTCAAGACAGCAAGAAGCAAGTGTTTTGTACCTCTGCCCGTAAAGGAATTTGTCAAAATCGCTCGGGGCTGTTTGAGCTTTGATTTAAAAAAGAAATTTCAAGACAAGGAATTTTCTGACCTTTTCCAGTTGAGTGCGAACGTGATTAGGTATGATTGACTGATCAGAGAAGAAGAACAGATGAAAAATTCTAGTAAAGGGGCTTATTACAAAGACCCAAGTTTTGACGTTCATACCATCAGCGACGAGTCATACGATCAAGCCGAAATGTGTTTGGCTGAATTGGTCAAAGGAGACACATATACTTGTCCTATAATGGTTAAGCCTAGACCATCGAGCAAAGATGAGCACATGAAAGATGGAAACATAAAGGCTAGAACGTTCTCGTTCAATGTAACCAAAGTTGACCTTATATTTGATAAATTATATAGGGATAAGCAGATAAAGCTGAGCGATAAGCATAAATTGCCAAACCCTGAACAAATTAAGGGTAAAAAATATTGTAAGTGGCATAATGCATGGTCACATTTAACTAACAATTGCTTGGTTTTTCGCCATGTATTGCAGGATGCCATTGAATCAGGACGAATTACGTTCGACGATAAGAAGAAGATGGCAGTGGATGAAAATCCTTTTCCACAGCCACTTGGAGTGAACATGGTGACGTCTGGTTTCAAAAACAAGTTGCCAAAATTCAAGTTGGTCATAGATGATGGAGAAGAGGACCTTGGACCACATCCCAATGTCTTTGAACGAATCAAGGGGAAAGAGCCAAAAAAGGACGAAGACGTCCTGTGTGCAAGATGTAAAAGAGAAGTGAGTGGGAACACGGAGAAACCAGGGATATGGCAGCATCCCCATCGCCCTACTTTCTTCCCAAACACTCAGCCTGGTAGAGGGCGAGATACATCATTCTATAGAGGACCACCTTTTGAGAGGCAGTTCAGGCCAGTAGATAATGGGAGAACATTCAGATCGCAACCTCGCTGGCCAAATGTATGGCATTCGTTCCAGTATAATGCAGGAAGGACAATACCCTTCGATGAGATGACTAGAACCCAACAAAGGCGTTTCCAACGAAACTATGGACGAATGATGAGGCAGCAACAGGGAGTGCCACAACCTAAAGCACCTAAACTACTCAAGGTAGTCAATCAAAATGTTCTCAAAGATAGTGAAGAGACCGGTACAGATGAATCAATGAAAGAACTGCCAGAAACTTTTTCTGGGAGATCAAAGTTTGAGCGAGACAGAAGGGATGGAGAAGATCCAGATCAGCCCCTTACTATCTAGTTCGGTACGTTACCTCCTGTTGTGGCTAATAATTACTTACTGGCCAATGAATTCAAGAATAAAGAAAAAGAAGAAGAAGAAAGGGAGGACAACGAAGGAGAGGCTTGCGTGCTGGAATGTGAAGAAGGCCAGACTTCTGGAGAGGCTTACAATGATGAAGAAGACGATGGGATGACAGACATCGAAGAAGAAATCAACCTAGAAGTAGAAAGAAAAAGGAGAGGAGTATCTCACAATACTCTGTTGAAGCAACTACATCGTGAGGGAGTTCGCGAAGTAGACTTGTTGGGAGAACCATCTGGGCGTCCTTTCGATTTCTACGTACTATACGGGACGCCCAAAAGAAAGAAGAGAGTCCCTCGCTCTGAAAAATATGGGTCACCTCCAAGAATAATGCCCCCTACCACTGGTTGGGTAACTGATGAGGAAGCATTAGAAAACAGTAAGGAGGAAATTCAGGAGACAGAGGCTCAGCACTATATGCTGCACGTCGACTTATCATAGGGGGATAATTCGACAGAAAACAAGCAGGAAGTAGAAATAGAAGCTGTCGAAAAAGTTATTTTTAAACGGCCAGCCATGAAATTGACTAAACATTTAAGGCCATTGTACGTTAAAGCTCTAATTAATGGCATCCCTGTGGCAAAAGTGCTTGTCGACAATGGAACAGCTATAAACACCATTCCATCTAGGATGATGAGGAAATTTGTAAAGACAGATGGTGACATGATTCCAACAGAAGTCATCCTTACGAGTTTCAATGGAGGAGCAACTTCAGCTAAGGGAGTTATGCCATTGGACATAACTATAGGAACAACTACTAGGACCACAGTCTTCTTTGTAATAGATGGTCCTACTAGTTACAATGTGTTACTAGGAAGAGATTGGATACACGGAAGTCGCTGTATACCCTCATCGCTCTATCAATGCCTGATTTTTTGGAATAACAAGGGCGAAGCATAGGTGGTACAGGCCGATCATAGGCCTTTTGTCGCAGAAGCAAACTCGGTGGAAAAGTTCATGTACAAAGGAAACTATGGACCTGTCAGGGTAGTACAAGATGGGGAAGAAACTCAAGTTGTCGCGCAAAGCGAAGAGTCATTTTCAGTGGACGCACTCACTGAAATGTTCAGACAGATGAGGCCAAATATAGTGGCCCTAGAAGAGCCAGTAATTGGCAAAAGAATAATCAAGGAGTCTTGAATGAATTCTAAGCTACAAAAGTAAATGGCCAATGTTCAGGCCTTCAAAGCCAGACTAATGGCTTTCAATAAGGAATACAATGACAAGGCGAAAGAAGAGACAGCCCTGAAAGCGCTGAAAGACAAATTAGCAGTATTCGAGTTAGAACAAAGCATTGGCCGAGAAGTCAACAAGGTGGACTGTTTAGAAGAAGAAGTACTTACAAGGGAACTGGACGACGAAGTGATGCGGATCATCAAACCTGGATACGCTCAAGCACAAGACCCTCTGATCAAAGTAAATATTGGCAATAAAGGAGAAGATCGTCCAACATTCATCAGCCAGATGCTCGATCAAGAGGTTAGTGATAAATTAATCACTTTGCTAAAGGAGTATAAAGATTATTTTGCTTGGGAATATGAACAAATGCCTAGTTTAGATAGAGACTTAGTGGAATATAGGTTACCAACTAAGCCTAATTTTAAACCTCATAGGCAGCCTCCTAGACGTTTTGCTCCTAATGTACTCCCTGAGATTAAGAAAGAGATAGAGCGATTATTGAAAGCAGGTTTTATTAGAACAGCCAGGTATGTCGAATGGTTGATCAATATCGTGCCAGTACTAAAAAAGAATGGTAAACTAAGGGTGTGCATAGACTTTAGGAATTTAAATATAGCTATACCCAAAGATGAGTATCCAATGCCCACGGTGGATTCTTTAGTAGACTCAACTACCGAACACGTCATGTATTCTTTCATGGATGGGTATTCAGGATACAATCAACTTTATATAGCTGAAGAAGACATACACAAAACTGCCTTTAGATGCCCTGGGTCTCTAGGATATTTTGAATGGGTGGTCATGCCTTTCGACCTCAAAAATGCAGGAGCAACTTATCAAAGGGCAATGAATTTAATCTTTCATGATATGATAGGCAAGTTTGTTGAAGTGTATATAAATGACATAGTGGTCAAATTCATTAAAGAAGAGGACCATTTCGAACAGTTAAGATGTTCGTTTGAGCGAATGAAGCAATATAAGCTAAAGTTAAATCCCTTGAAATGTGCATTTGGTGTTAATGCAGGGAACTTTCTTGGTTTCTTGGTACACAAAAGAGAGATTGAACTTGATAAAAATAAAGCGAAAGCCACTTTAGATGCCAAACCACCTAGCAACAAAAAAGAATTGCAAAGGTTTCTAGGCCAAGTAAACTTTTTAAGATGCTTTATTTCTAATTGTGCAGGGCGAACTAAAGTCTTTTCGCCTCTCTTAAAGCTGAAAAATCAGGACGAATTCGTCTAGAAAGAAGAACATCAAAAGGCTTTTGAAAGCCTGAAGACATATTTATCAAGTCCACTAGTGTTGGTGTCACCAATCCAAGGACGGCCAATGAAAGTGTACGTATCGGCTGAGAAAGAATCAATAACTGGAATGGTCGCACAGGAAGACCAATTTGGTGAAGAAAGGGCAATTTACTACTTAAGTAGACGGTTAACAAAATGTGAATGTAATTACTCTGCTATCGAAAAATTATGTCTTGCATTGTATTTCACATGTACAAAATTCAGGGCTTATTTACGGCCCGTAACCGTTTATTTAATTTCTAAAGTAAATTTAGTTAAGTATATGTTCTCGCACCCTATTTTATACCAAAGGGTAGGCCTTTGGACATTAGCTTTATCAGAATTTGAGATACAATATATACCTCAAAAGGCAGTCAAAAATCAGGCTTTGGCTAACTTTCTAGCCGATCATCCATGCCTTAACATGCCCGAAGAAATTGAATTAGAAATCAATTCGTTCGAGCTAAAACCTTGGGTGTTGTATTTCGATGGGTCAAAAACCTCTAAAAGTGTAGGAGTAGGAGTAGCATTGATTAATCCTTTAGGGATTTGCTACAAGTTCACGTTCACTTTAGACAGGATGTGCACCGACAATCAGGCCGAATATGAAGCCTTAATCATAGGCCTAGAACTAATGATAGAAATGGGAGTAAAAAATGTGATCGTTAGGGGCGATTCTCAATTGGTAATTCACCAATTGATTGGTGATTTTAAATGCCAAAGTGATTCCATTATAAGTCAATATGAGATCGCCCAAGAATTGTTAGAAGAATTCGACCAAGTAGAACTTCAATGCGTTAATAGGATATATAACGATGTGGCAAATGAGTTGGCCCAAATGGCCTCAGGATACTCAAAGGTTTTGAATTGGAAGTCTACTTGTGAGTATGGAACTATATTGCCCGTGACCCAAAGAAGGGCGAGAAGGATTGAACTTCACTGCATACAAGATTGAGATGCAATGGATTGGAGAACAGAGATTAAAAGGTTCCTTAAAGAATCTAATGGAGGGATTAGTAGGAAAATGAAGCTGTGTTTGCTGAACTATACACTAATAGATGAAGAATTGTTTAAGAAACATTCTAATGGTGTATTGCTAAAGTGTGTAAGTTTGCAAGAAGTCAGGACGATCATGGCTGATGTGCACGAAGGGATATGTGAAGCTCATCAAACTGGCCAAAGGATGAGATGGTTAATTATTAGGAGTGGATATTTTTGGCCAAAGATGGGAGAATTATACGTTCAGTATGCAAAGAGTTGTTTAGCATGCCAAAAGCATCGTCCAATGCAAAGGGCGCCAGCACGAGAGATGACACCTATTATTAAACTTTGGCCGTTTAAGGGTTGGGCGATAGACCTGATAGGGAAGATTTATCCCCTATCGTCTAAGCAACATACTTTTGTTATAGTTGCAACCGACTATTTCACCAAGTGGGTAGAGGCAGTACCTTTGAAAGAGATCACCCAAAAGAATGTTATAGAGTTTATCCGTAATCACATCATTTATAGGTTTGGAATTCCACAAACGTTGATGGTAGATCACGGAATATCTTTGAATGGGGATCAAGTGAACAAATTTTTGAACGAGTTTGGGGTTAAATTAGTAAACTCCACACTATATTACGCTCAATCCAATAGACAAGCAGAATCTTCTAATAAGATTCTAAAAAATATAATCAGAAAGATGATAGATGAAAATGCCAGAAATTGGCACGAATGTTTGAATAAAGCCTTATGGGCTTATAGAACATCACCTCGATCAAGTACCAAAATTACTCCTTTCCAACTTACTTATGGACAAGAGGCCGTTTTGCCTATGAAAATCAACGTGCAATCGATTAGAGTGTGCTTGCAACATAAGTTAAATGATGATGAGTATACCGAATCACTAGTTCAAAATTTATTGGGGTTGGACGAATTAAAATTGGACGTCTTAGATAGATTGCAAGTTCAAAAATAAAGAATGGCTAAGTTTTATAATAAAAGAGTCATAGCCAAGTCGTTCAGCCTGGACGAATTAGTTTGGAAGACAATACTCCCTTTGGATAGCAAGGATCCAACCTTTGGATAGCAAAGATCCAAAGTACGGGAAATGGTCGTCCAATTGGGAAGGACCATACAAAGTAAATAGTGTGTTACCCAATGGAGCATATCATTTGGAAGATTTAGATGGCACCAAGCACGTGAGATTCATCAACGGCAAATATTTGAAAAAATATGTTCCTTCTTTATGGAAAAGTGAACAGATAAAAGTGTAATCAAAACATGTTGAACGATTAAGGATAAAAGGTCAGAGCGAAATACGTTCAAATAAATTCCTTTATTATCAAACGTTCATTACAAAGTTGCAAGATACAAATAATAGATGCTCTACAAGCTACAATTAAAAGTAAGCTAATCTCCCGGTCGATCGTCGAGTAAGAGGGTGGACTGGCCTCATACCGCCTTCCTAAATGCATTGCTGCAATGGCGGGTATGAGAAGCACTCTCAGCAAGTAAGGTGGCCCGGAAGCATCCCAAAAATTGCCTTCCATCATTGAACCCCTTGTAAAGGACAAAGAGACGATGGGAAAAACTTTGATGGGAAAAACTTTGCTGCTGGCCAAAAAATATTTCCTATACTTCCCATACCAAAGGTGATATCAACACAAGTAGTAAAATGGGCGTACCAAACAATCCATCTTTATAAAAGACGAAGGTTTTGGATTGATTGTCAGAATGCCAAACAATGGCAGTAAATCGATTTTGAAGAAGAGAATGAAAATGAAGATGGAAGATGGAAAGTGCGAAGAATACGTGCATTTATAGGAGGGCGGAGATGAAGAGACAGAATATCAGCAGCCACATTCTGCCTAGTAAATAGAATTAAGTAGCCCAAAGTCTTGGGAAAAAGGTGGAAATATCAAGAGAGAACGTGCAAGATTTTTAGCACAAAACAGTTGAATGCTTGAAAGATTGGCGATTAAAAGACAAACGTCAAATAAATGCACAAGAAGTTAACATAGATGTTCATTAATGATGTACAAGGTTACAAAGGGAAAGTCAAATGCGAAATTACAAAAAGAAAAAGTTAAAGCATTATATGTCTTAATTACAATCCGCCCCATACCGAATGAATTCTTTCCCTAAGTTTTTCCCAGTCCTCGTTTTGCCGAGAGGAAGTGATGCTCAATTCGGCCACGACATCATCATCAACTTCCAACTTCTTGTACTGCTCGACCAAGGACTTAGTTCGCTCAATTTCTTGTGAGGCGTTATGCTTTTATGTAGCCATTCTCGCCTTGCAGTCGTCCATTTTGGCCTGAAGTTCCTTCATCTGAGCAGCCAAATTAGTCATCAAAGAGTCTTCACTCATGACTTCGAAAGAGATTTTTTCAACTCGCCCTCAGCTTTGTTGATCTCCTGACGTAAAGACTCTTTTTCAGATACGGCGCGAAGATATTGAGTACTTTTGGCCTTCAGTTCAACATTCTTGGCCAGCAGGGAGAGGATCTCGGAATGGATAACTTTCAACGTCGCTTTAAAATCAGCAAAAAGATTGAGCGACGGAAGTGTCAGTGCTTGCTCTAACTTCGCATTCAAATGCTCAAGCTTATCCTTATGTCTGGCAGCACTAGCCTTACCAATGTCCATATCCATGAAGGACACGTACTCAAATATTGACTGCTTGAGGAACTTCATATCTTCCTCTAAAGAAGTAGCAGGACGACCAGATGGAGCAGGGCGAGATGTCTTGACTTGTCCCCAGGAAGCGAACAAGTCTCGGATGGAACGCACAATCTTATCAGCATCCCGCAAAGAAGATTGCCAATGCTAAAGATTCTCACTACAACGAACAAGATAGAAATAAAAGTGAAGCAAAGATTACCTCATCAATAATCTTGGAAGATGGCATATCCTCAGCCAAGTTTGCCACCTGTGGCTCCACCATTCGCGAGGACTTCCCATTGTCTGAGCGAGAAGATGTTGCCACAACGGGCAGACTCATAGGAGCATCTGTAGAACTCAAAAGCAACAAATCAGAAACCAATAGCACAAGCAAAGGTAAAGCATCAAAAAACTGAATTACCTTCTGCTTCGATGGTTGGGGGGTTGACGCCCTGGGAAGAAGGTGGCTCATCCATTAGTTGTGATGAGGATTCTGGGATTGAAGATGTCTCTTTAAGCGTAGTCCCTTCATCAGCTAGTTTGGATGAAGCGGCCTCAGCGGAGGATGATGGAGCAGGAACTGTCGATACCAAAGCCTTTAAAGGAGAGGCTGAACTTTTCTGAGAAGTCCAAATAAATCATCAGCACACAGAAAAGTTTCAAGTATGGAAAAGTATGCTTGTGAGTAAACCAATTTAATTACCTTCCTCCTGATGATAAGAGGGGTATCATCATTATCATCAACATCATCCTCCAGAATAGGAGATGCTGAGGCTGGCCGTTTGCAGCTCGGGGTACTTTTTTCTGCAGTAGGCTTGGCAGGGAGAGAAGAGAAGGACTCCGGATGGACAAAGGAGTGACTAAAACAGGAGGATGGGAAGAAATGCTAGGCTGGTCCAGTAAATGAAAGGCACAATTGGCATTAGTCGCAAACAATCTGCGCTTCACTGACGGCCAGAGCTGTTCAAAAAAGGGATGGATGACATGGCTAGAATTGAAGGGGGCTAATGAAAAATGGCTCGTCAAAAGAAGATTGCGAGCATTTATAACCTCTGCCTCCGCCTTATTAATAATATGGAAGCGGTCTATCAAGTTCCTTGAATAGCAAGGAGAAATAGGCCAGGTTTAGCCGAAACCAAGTTGGCGAGCAAAAAATTGGGGAGCATATATTTCTACCCCTGCCTTAGCATTGGTCCCAGTCAAAATATCATGAAATAACTCCCTCCCGATTAAAAAATGGATCCAAATGAGCAGAGAGGTGCTTACGCTGTCTATAGTGGAGGGAGGATGCACATAGTCTGGAGTCAAAAAGGGAGGAAAATGAAAGAAGGAAGGAATTGAATCCAAAGAATAAAAGAATGAAAAAATGTCCCTTCTAGACATATTTACAGGAGCAAGGGGCTCAATGGCTAGCCCATAAAAGCTAGCAGAAGGACGAGAAATTGATGGAGCAACAAGCAATGGAAAATAGGATCTCAACCACATTTGAGTGAACCAAAGAGGTCCACTGCCAGTGGGAGATGCACCATTCTTCAATTGAGTTTGAAGAGAAGCCATGCCTCTATAAATGGCAGCCAAAAAGAAAGAACATAAATTCAGAGGCCTGCCACGCGCCAATTTGTGCGCTATGGGTAAATAGCTCAGGGAGGGCTTTATGCTTGGCACACACAAAACATATTTACAAACCCAAACCAGAAGAAAGGCCACTCGCTCAGTATAGGAAGGCTCAGCGCTCGAATGGTTATGAAGAATTTGCAGGCTTGAATAAGACTCGGTGAGGGTTTTACCAAACTTTGGGGCGCCACCAGAAACCAAGATACCAGGAAAAATGGTATCGCCCAAAGGTGGCAGATTCACTAGGGCCCCAACATCCCTTAAAGTAATAGATATGGGGCCAAGAGGGAAAACAAAGGTATTATATTCAGAAGACCAAAAACTTAAAGCGATCGAAAAAAGTGCTGAATCAAAAGTAGGGGGTTGAAGAGAGATTTCTAGCAAATCAGAAATCCTAGCATTATCAAAAAGCGCCTTAGTAGGACCATGGTCTACAAGGCGAGCATGCCACCTACGGAAAACTACGTCAGATTTGGGCCAAGTGCGAATACCTCTTTCACGAAGTGACCCTAACGGCAGAGAGTTTAGAAATTGAGGGCCTTGAGTACAAGGAAACGGCTGGCCCACCGTCACTTGTTGGACTGCCTCTGCATTGTTGAAGAAAGGACCTAGGTAGAACTCATTGAGTTCGACATTGGCGGATGCAAGAAAGTTCGGAGTTATGTATGGACGATTAAGGAGTTTCTGAAAGTCATCAAAACTAAGGAGTCGCCAGATTGAGATTGTGAAGTAGCCATTAGGGACGAAACGGAGTTTTTCAGAGTTACGTAGTAGGGAAGCAAAGAGATGAACAGTAAATTGTGGGAGAGAAACGCGAAAAAGTGAGGCGTGATTTAATGGTGCAGTGAAATGGCGTATTTGAGGGTTAGAAGGGTTTGCAAAACGTCGCACCTTTTCAAAGCTATGGAAGAAAACAATGATTGAAATTTTTGGAAATTTCGAATGTTGCTGGAAACACAAAGGTGAATATGGCAAAATTTAATAATTGGTATTAATTCTGCCATATTGGGGGGTAATTGTTGACACATAAAAATTCGGCTCAAATCGAACGGCCCAAGGAATGAAACCCAATGGGAGGATCCCCAAATCAGATAGCCCAAAGAATGAAGCCCAATCAGACAATTCAGGATGAAGGCCCAAATAGGGAAGCTCAGGAACGCGGTAACACCATCGTCCAAGCTTGCAAATCGCCCAGGATCTGAGCGAATGGAGTGCCATGCAGTCGCCCAGAACTACTACTCTATTCTCGCTCAAACCTTCGAGTCGCCCAATGTCTTAGCAAACATGAAGTGTTGTGGTTATCAAGAAGCGCAGTTATCAAAGCAGTTATTAAGTAGCCCTATCACGTTCCACGATTCAAGGAATTCAATCGAAAACGGTTGAACAACGAAGAGTAATGGCAGCAGTTAAAAAAGGCAGTTCCATGACAAGTTGGCCATTACGAGGAAAGTGGGCAGTTATAGAACGATCAAGCAGTTTTTAGGCGGTTGATCACAAAGAAATCATTCAGGGAGTATAAAAGGAAGAAAAGATATAGAGCAAAGGACCCTGAATCAAAAAACTCTCGAACAGAGAACATGTAATTTTAAATTTCTTAATTTAGATTTAAACACTTCTTTCAGTAACTCGTGTGCTTGCGCCCCTTGGAGGTATTCTGTTTTTACTTTCCGATTGTAAAGATATCGCCAATAAAGAACACCCCTTTTTGGGACTTTGTCTCAAGAGGTTTGTCCCTTACATAATCGTCCGATCCCTTTTTAATTGTTAGCGACAAACTCGCGCGAAAGACTAATATATATTATTTCCGTTTATACTATTAAATATATTTAGAAACCAAAATTACTACTTAAAATTATAATAAAACAAAAAATACGGTGTATGGAACTTTCCTTTTGGAATCTGTAACTAACATTAACAATCACAGAGAGTGCAGTGGCATTAATTGAAAATGTCGGACTTTTGGGAATTTGAATTCATAATGATTTTTAGCTGGTACGTTACAATTGTAATTTCGATTTGGGAAAATAGATTATCGACGACTGTGTGAAGCTTGTTATACTAACTTCTTCACGATGTAGAGAGATTTTGTTTGATTTTCTATTTAGATCATTTCCAAGATTTTGTAAAAATGAAGGCAGGATTTTGTTAAGATGTGTAGTTTGGATGTTGCAATTTCTGTCTTTGAACCTCGTTATTCATTTGATATCAATGGTTATGATTTGTGTTGTCTTTATGCATCGAAATTTGAAGATTTGTTGTCTATTCCAATCAA